GGGGCTCCCGCACATGTGCCAGCCTCGGTGCTAACGTGAGTCTCCCGAATCAAAATAACATGTTTCTCTCTTTCCCTCCACCTTGGCCTCTGGTGGTAATGGCCGCATTCTAGAACAAGACATGGACTGACCTCCACAATATATACCCGTGAGCCTCAACTAGGCCAAGGGTGGAAGCTATGGCAGGAAAAAACAAGATACTGAGGTCGACGTAAGGCCAAGGGCTTCCTGTCTTTGATAGTTCTTCCGTTTCAACTTCAATTTCTTCCTGTTTTCCCACCACTTCCATACCACGTGACCATCATAACGTTGGCCATCTGTTCGGATGTACTGAGTTTTTAAAAATATGATGATTTTTGTCTTTAAAAAAAAGAAGAAAAAAGAAAAAAGAAAAGCTTATTCCAGTTTTACTGGTATCGGTTGCATGTGCTTAAGGACAATGACAATTTTGTCAAAATTCAAGTTCTGAAAGTTGAAAAGGCCAAAAAAAAGATACGTAAAGCAGGGTTAATTGTTAAAGTTTAGTAATGAAACAGTTCTTTTACTTTTATGGGGGAAAAATGTTTTTCTTGGTTAAGATGTGTGTGTGTGTGGTTAACTCGTCTGTGTGTCGCACCCCCCTGCCATTATTTTATTTTATAAAATAATATACATATTATTGCTAACGTTCTCGGGAAAAAATAGGATCATTAAGAATGATATTGCTCTTTTTTTCGGCCTACTTGTGAAGAGCACTCCCTTCTCCAAAAAAAATAGTTCAATGCGCATTACATTCATTTAAAAACCCATAAAATGAATGTACAACACTTTATGAGTGGACGTAAGACTCGGTAATATGTAATATTTAATATATTTTCTGGGCATTCTTATAAAAAAATTTATATGACTTAGTCACGCAGTGAACATGGCAAGTGAAAAAAGGTAGAATGCAATCTAAAACCCCCCTTATGGGCCACCAAGAAAATAAAAGAGATATTTGAATGGCTTCAGCCAGGAGAATACATGTGAGAAAAAATGGGCGTTTGTGACATAGAGAGAGTATCTTTCTCTCTCTGTCTGTCTGTCTCTCTCTCTCTCTCTCTCTCTCTCTCTCTCTCTCTCTCTCTCTCTCTCTCTCTCTCTCTCTCTCTCTCTCTCTCCCTCCCTCTCTCTCTCTCTCTCTCTCTCTCTCTCTTTCCCCTCTCTCTCAATCTCTCTCTCTCTCTCACTCTATCTATCTATATAGCTCTCCCTCCCTCCCCCCTCTTCTCTCTCTCCACCCTACCCCCGCTCTCTTTCTCTTTCCCTCACGCTTGCTCACTCACTCTCACAATTTTTTTCTTCCTCCTCCCACTCTCAATCTCCCTCTCTCACTCTCCATCTCCCTCTCTCTGTTTCTCTGTCTGTCTATCTCTCTATCTATCTACCCCCCCCCCCCCCCACCACACACAGATGTTCACATTATTTTTGTCCTTGACAGGGAGCCAACCATGTCCTCTGTTCCTTCTGCTGGCTCGTGGCTGTTTAGCAAATTGCTCGGTTGTTCCCCTTACATATTTCTCCCGTTACGAAAACATCTCCACGTGTTGCTAAAAATAGACACTGGCCTGTTATTCAAGAGTGGGCGCGGACCGCTGGGCATTCAGAGATCAGTGTACCTTCAGCTGACTGGAACAACAACACACACATAGGTCTCTGGTCTGTTTCACCCAAGATTTGGTAAGTAAAAGTGTATATAAAATACATATTTTGTGTGTATTGGTTGTTAATTCCACCTTTTAGCCTTTTCATTTTCTGCTCCGTTGTTATTTAATTACATTTGTTATTATAGATGCATGATTTCCGTTTTAAAAAGAATGATTTCTGATGCTAACTATAGGGCCTAATGTTTGTACATGTATACCATTAAACAAGTTAGTTGTGTAACCATTATTTGAGGTGAAACGTGGTGGTTATAGCATCCAACTTAATTCTCTCATGTGTGTGTGTTATCGCCGCTGTAGGATTGATTTTTTGTAGGCCTCTTTCTCCAAGCAGCTGTTCGGGGTCGCTAGTCTTCATCTTGGCTACTTAACCAACCCTATATATATATAAGTCAAGTCGTTTGCGATAGAGAGATTTTATACAAATAAAATGTGCTAAGCGGCGTTGGTAGAGCACCCGTCAAGCGCCTTGAATTCAGCGGGTTTTTGTTTGTTTGTTTGTTTATTTTGTTTTTGTTTTGTTTTTTGTTTTGCATTTATTCTACTCTTTAGAAAAAAAGGAAGGGGGGGGGGGGGGGGGGATCTTTTTATAAATTTTCTTAAAACTAATTTTGACGAGCAGCCTACATTAAATTGTTGGGGGGAGGAGGTGGGGCGGGGGAGGGTGATTTACGAAATGAAAAAAGGAAAGCGAAACGGAATGTACAAAGGACAAATACACGGAGAGAGGACGGAAGAGAG